CAGAGGTGGGGGGGGAGCGGCGGGTGCTCGCCGCCGCCTTCCCTCCGTCTGGAAGAGACGCGGGTCCCGTGGGAAGGGTCCGGGGCCAACGGGGTTGGGGGGAATTGCATTTCACTGCTGGTTTCTCTCACAGCTGGGCTTCAACATCCGGGGAGGAAAAGCCTCACAGCTGGGGATCTTCATCTCTAAGGTGTGTCTGTCCTCCTGCCATCCCCTCCCTGCGTGCTGCCTGTTCCCTTGGGTGTTGCTGAGCCAGCTGGGTGTGCAGGGAGACTGTCACACGCATCTCCCAACTCACAGCTGTAATTTGCCACACACCAAGCAGCCGTCAGACGGTCCCACGCCATTTCCTGGCCTCTCCCCAGCCCACGGAGTGTTGCAGCCCCCCGCTCCCCATCCTCCCCAGTCCCATGGGAGCGCCTGGGATGGGCGCCGTGGGGCTGGGCTGTGCGGGAGGGGAGCTGCGGCACTGGCCGTGCAGAGAGTCACTGCTGCTGTCTCTGCTTTTCCCCCCCTCAGGTGATCCCCGACTCGGATGCGCACAGAGCTGGGCTGCAGGAAGGGGACCAAGTGCTCTCGGTGAATGACGTGGATTTCCAGGACATTGAGCACAGCAAGGTGAGCACTCCAGCTGCAGGAGCCAGGGACACGATGGGGAATCCATGCATACACCATCTCCCTCCAGCCTCTCAGCCTGGTGGCACCGCATAACCGATACACTCCTCTCTCCTATCCTCTAAGCAACTCTTTGTGCTTTCAGGCTGTGGAGATCCTGAAGACAGCCCGTGAAATCACCATGCGCGTGCGTTACTTCCCCTACAGTAAGTCCCCGCTAGCTCTGAGCCTGTCACCTAGCAGCATTTCTCCTTGGGAAGCCTGCCACGCGTCCCTGCTGGTTCCACCTGAGCTTAGTGGTTAGAAGTCTAAGGTCATAGATGGTGTTAAGCTAGCAGCCCAGGGCTCAGAAAGAGCATTGGGCTTTGATTTGGGGATCAGGACAGCTACCAAGTCAAAACAGTAAGGACTGGCTTCAGCTGCCCACATAAAAACACTTGTAGAGCAGGGCTTAGCCACACAGTGGTGAAAGGTGGGATGGTTGCTGAACAGAAATGTTAACTTCAGAGATGTAGAAGCTACTTACCCTTGAACAATGTAAGAATTAGGTCTGTCACTAGTGGACCTATGCTGACGCTTGTGGCTTTTATCCTTCCCTAAGAATGTTTAAATCCTGATTGAGGGAAAAGACTGTATTAACTCTTGGTTTCTGCATCCATAAAGGTCACAGATATTTTTGGGGGTGGGGGGGTGGGAAAGAGAGGTCAAATCGAGCCAAACAAGGATTCCTCATAAAATGGAAACCGACCCTTAAGTGAAGAAAGGAGGAAAATACAGAGCAGGAGAAGGAAGGACTTCAAACAGACTTTTGTTCTAAATGCCCTGAAATAACTTGAAATGACTGGCTGGGGTACGAACGTGCTATTTGAAAGCCAGCTGCTACCCAAGAGGGCAGCAAACACTGCCTCTGCTTAGTGAGGTAGAAACAGAATACATGTTCTCCTTTAACACTTTGGAAAATTCCCCCTTGCCATCAGCGATTGCTGCTCCT